ACTACGAATAATATAGAAATAATTTCTAATCAATAAACTTATGTTTAGTACACGGCACAAATGTTTAATTTGTTTTATTATTTTCAAGAAACAGGGTAAAATACTCTTCTGACTCAGGCATTTTTCATTAAATCAAGATTTGTAGTACGATGTATCTTTAAAATGTTTATTTATCTATGGCGATTTCCTTGTTGATATCGACAGATCTCTATTCACATAAACGACGACTAATCACGATCGACCAGTATAGAAAGGATCTCATCGAGGACGAATGACGAACAGTTCGGGCGTAACGGACTTACGTCGCATTTATACGCAAATTACACCCTAGTCGCGCCTAAAGAAGTTTTACTTCAATAATTTTACCTTTGCAATTCTGTTTATATAATTCTTATAAACAATAGACAATGTCCTTCATTTTAAATTCTACTGATTAAGTTTTGTTTATTTACTTTTCTATAAACATTTATAAGTTCCCGTATTTATAATAATCTATTTGAACACAATTCATAGAAGACAACCTTTCCAGGTACGAAAAAGTATCTTTACTATTTCTGCTCCATGGTCATGGTCAACCAGCAACAGGTTACGATAACATTTTGCAATTGATCAATCCCAGCAATCAGGGACCTACGACATTTCTAAAACAATGGGCTACTAGCAATAACAACAATTGGGAGAACGTTTTGCGAGAAGCCCTGACTTTGATTCAGAATTTTGCGATTTTGGATAAACTTGGTTTCGATTACCAAGATGAATGCTTGAGGTTTTTACCTAGACAAAGCGATTGCTCCGTTTATATCCATCCTGTGATTAAAATTCTGTACCATTTGTGTGAAGACTCCACGAAGCAAGTTGTTAAATCGATTGTTAATGAAATGCGTAAAGTTGCAAAGATGGTGGATGACTTCATAATGCTTGAATATTTTGAAGTTAATATTTTGAATTGGATTCAAAAAGGCGTTATAAATGTTGGTGGCAACGACAAAGCAAATGTTTCCACGTTATTGCAAGTACTAAAAACGTTGGAGCTAGAAAAGTATTATGATTTGTTGAAAAATGCTGAAAATCGTGTCAATGTCAATCAAAGTAATTGCTTGTCCAATGATTTGATCAATACGTCTCAATCCCTGAGTTCCTGCACAGTTGTGAATCGTAGTTTATCAGATTATTACAACATGGATATCGACAATATGGGTGTATTTTGATTATAGATGAAAAGACTTTGCCCCAAGTATTTGTTACCGGAGCACCGACATTAGAAACCAGACACGGTACAGAGATTGATAGGCAAAAAGTGAGTGACATGTTTTTCATCCTCCTACGGATACCGAATTGTTGTAAAACAAATTTAAAAAGTTTTGAAATACTAAACACTGTTGATAAGTACGCTAATGAATTGAAACCATCCGACTGTTCTTTTGTTGTATGCATATTATCACACGGGCACATAGGTGCTGTTTTTCGAACCGATTGTCTTCCTGTCGACATCAGCAAAATAAACCAAGAATGAGATCCAAACAATTACTCAACAAACCCAGTATACTACTTATCCAGCATGCCAAACACCTGTCCAATCTTCCTTTATCAAGCAAGAAACTGACCATTGATGGTCATCATATGTTGCAAGATGCTGCATGACAACGGCTTGCGATTTTGTGATCTTTAATTCTACTGTGGAAGGGTATGCCAGTATAAGAGATAAGAAGCAAGGTTCCTGGTTTATACAAGAGGTTTGTGATGTTTTGGATAAGTATGGAGAAGAAGGGAGATTACTGAACTTTTTAAGCAGATTACCAGGAATGTTGTGCAAAAAATTTGGACGCACAAGAATCAAGATGGTTGTATGGTGCCAAATTTTCTAGTACTTTTATTAAGAACTTTGTCTTTCCACGACGACGGGGGGATAGAAGGACTAGCTGATTTCTTAGAGATAAGGTAAAAGATTAGAGTTATATTAATGAGTTGTAACGGGGCGTCCATTAATCACGTGATCGATTTTTTAAGATTTTTAGACCCCCGCCTCTCCTTAGTGATACATTCAAAATTAAACCCCCACCCTTCCCCAGCGAACATCACGTGAAATTCAAGTAAAATTTTTGATTTTTTTTAAAATGTTTGGATTTTTTAAAAAAA